GGCCGCGGCCACGGTCGGCGCCCGCTGCCCTCCGCGCCAAGGAGTCAGCGGCCCCGGCCCACAGGGCTCTGGGCTCGAGGTCCCGAGGCTGCAGGCTGAGTTGGGGGGTCGCGTTCCACGACGCCCCCGTTTCTGATTTCTGCGAGAACGTGGCCCCGAGGAAGGTCGGCGGCGCCATGGTCACGTCAGAGGCCATGGCGCGGCATCTTCTGTGCATTGACTCTGCGGGAGCGCCCACCGTGGCGGGGCCGCGCCTCTATTGGGGCAGCAATCCCATCATCGAGACAGATGTCGTCGCGGTCGCCGACGGGGACGCCGCTGACATCGTCGAGCTGGGTTCGACACGGGCGGAGTCGCGCGAGTTATGGCTCGAGGGGGGTCGAGTTTGTGATGCACCTCTGGATCAGAGGCCCCCCACATTCACGCGTGCTGCCCCTCGAAGGAGCACGGGGGCTGACCCGCGAGGGTTCCAGGGGCGCGATGCCATCGCCCTCGGGCAATGGAATGAGCACCGCCAAAGGTTCGCCCCCTGCCTGTGCCAGGCGCAGCTCCGCACCAGTGGGCGGGCTCTGCCAGTCCCCACCGCCTCTGAGCGAGAGGCCCCCATGGGGCACTGGCCAGGGCGCGCGATCGTCGGCGAGAGGGGCTTGCACATGGTGGAGCCCCGGGAACGTCAGCAGCTCGAGGGTGAGCGTTGCTCACAGCTAGAGAACGCGTTTCACGCGGGAGTGACGGCGCGGCTGGTCGGTCAGGGCCTGCGCCGCGGAGAATTCCTGGAGTGCCCGCCGACGTCGTCGGTGATCCAGGCCACCTTCAGCAAGTGCGCGGCGAGGCGCAAGGCCCAACTGCTGGGCCAGCAGCGGCTGGATCGGGGCGCGCCCGCTACGCCGAGGTTCAGTGCCGAGGCGCAGCCACCAAGCGAGCAGAGTTCGCACGAGCGCATGCACGGCCTTATGTTCGAGATGCATCGCCGTGCAGATCATGGCGGCAACGACGTGAGGCAGGACACTGGGCTGCCCTATCAGCACAACGCCTGGCAGAGGGCCAGCGTCGACCAGCGCCGCTGGTGCTGGGAGCACGCAGTGGCGACGCGGTTTCGTCGCTCGCGCCGCATCAACGAGCTGGAGCTGCAGATGGTGCACAATGTGATGAGGTGGGGGCGTGCTTCCCCGTGGACTCGCAAGTGAATGTGGCGGTCGCAGCGAAGGGCCGCTCGTCATCGCGTCCCCTGAATGCCGCTCTATGCCGCGTCAATGCCCTGTGCCTCGCGATCTTCTGCGCCCCCTGCTTCACATGCGCGCGCGGTGGGCAATCCCGCCGATTTTCCGAGCAGAGCGCCGTGGGTGCGAGGAGGTGGAGGTCAAGCAGCGCCGAGGGCGGGAAAGAGGCAAGACGGGCGGCGCGGGCGGCAATGCGCAGGCTGAGCGACAATGTCCAGACGAAGCGCGCGATGGCGCAATGCATTCAATTTGCTGCAAGGCTTCCCGGATGGGCACATGGCCGAAGGTCTCTGCCGAGCGTCGTGAACTTTGATCAACTGCATCATATGCGCGCAGAGTATGTAGAGCACCTCTGGGCGGGGGGGTGAGCCGAAAGGCTGCGCGGCCTATGCCCTCCCAGCGGTGCAACGCTTCGCTCCCGGCGCCAGGCGTCACTTGCCGCCGGCAAGGCGACTGCAAGCAGCTTGGGGCGAGTTGGAATTGCCCGGGCGGGCACCGCCGTTGACTTGAGCGGTGACGCTGGCGATTGCAGGCGTCGTGTGCGACGTGGGGCACCCGCGATCTGCTCTCGCCGTCGCAGTCGCGTTTCATTGCGCGCAGCGAAGGGGCGAGGTCTTGGCGATTCAGGGGCGAGACGTTACGATCGCCAACACGGAGAAAGTGTTGTCATCAATCTTCGTCTCACTAAGTCTAGCCAAAGGGTTAATCATCATGAGATGGTAAGCGTCGATGACGCTATCCTGGTGCGGCGGCTCTCCCGATTCCTCCAGAGGCCCCCCCGCGGGAGCCCCGCGGTTGCCAGAGCGCCCCCCTAAGTCCCGCAAGTTGTTATGTGGTTCTCTTCGGGCACTCGGGCTGTCAGCGCGCGGCTTCAAACCTGGCAGCCTACGACGAGGTGGAGCCGCGCATCATTACCGTACGAAGGGGGACATCTATGGACCTGCCCTGAGAGGGCGCTGGGCCAACATCAAAACGGCCCGAGTCCATATCATTGATTCCCTTGTGAAGCTCCATGAAGCTATATCTACGTCAAAAGATCTGGAGGCAAGCCAGATGTTCAAGAACGTCGTGGTCAAAGCGGCTAGTTAGCCATTCTGGGGTAGGGTGTTGGTGCGTCCGCTGGGTGGCATCTGTGCAGTATGGTCCTGAGGGCCTAGCGTGGCGCATGCCTTCAGTTCACCGCGTGCGGCTTGCTAACCAGAAAAGAGAAGGGAATGGTGGAGTGTGGAGGTGATATTCTTTGAGGTCTGGCCCCAGGGGGCCGCGTTGACCCAGGGTCGGGCTCGAGGCGGAATTCGCCCCCTCTGCCGCTGGCAGGAGAGCGCTCCGTGGCCCACCGCGCTGCGTGGCCTCTTTGGGGGCCCCGTTTGGTCTTCGCGTTATGTGGGGCGTGGGCCAATTGCCGACGGGGGCCCTCGCAGGCTCCCAGAGGTTTGGCCCGTTTGAAGTTTGGTCTTAAGCGGCGACACGGATTGGCTGGTGGACGAGGCCTGACGCTCGCGCCAACGCACATACATGCTGTTCTGGCGCGTGACTGTCGTCAAAAAGGACGCCATGATGATGCCGATGATGATGCTGATATCAATACCGATGCTATGGTGATGATAATAGTACTCATATGGTGATGCCATGATGGTGGTGCCATGATGACGATGGTGATGGCACGATGGTACCATTATGATGCCATGATGATGGTGATCGTAATATTGATGTTGATGGTGTTGACGGTGTTGGTGCTTATGATGATGTTAGTGGAGATGACCATGACGACGCTGATGATGTTGATGATGATGGTGACGACGACGCTTGCATTGGCGCTGCTGATTAGGATGGTAATACTGATGATGATGATGCTGATGATGGTGATGATGCTGATGGTGCGTCTGGTGATGATGATGATGGTGACGGCGATGACGATGATGTTGCTGTTGGACAGGTTGATGATCATGGAGACGATGGTGATTATGATGATGATGACGATGGTGATGGTGATCTTGATGATGACTACGACTGGAAATGATGAGGTTGTTGATGATGTTGGTGGTGTTGGTGCAGATGCTGATGATGATGATGATGTTGATGTTGATGATGATGATGATGATGGTCGTGATGATGATGATGATGATGATGATGATGATGATGATGATGATGATGATGATGATGGTGCGACTGGTGATGATGATGATGGTGACGGCGCTGACGATGATGCTGCTGTTGCATAGGTTGATGATCGTGGAGACGATGGTGATTCTGATGATGACGATGGTGATGGTGATGTTGATTATGATGCTGATGGTTACGACTGAAATGACGAGGCTGTTGATAAAGTTGATGGTGATGATGCAGATGATGATGCTGATGATGATGATGATGCTGATGCTGATGCTGATGCTGATGATGATGATGACGATCATGATCATGATGGTCATGATGATGATGATGGTGATGATGATGATGATGATGATGATAATGATGCTGTTGATGATGATGCTGCTGATGATGATGTTGATGACGAGAAGCAGTCGGGAATGGCAATGATGCGGGGGAGGGGGATCCTCTGGAACGGGAGCAGGAGAACGACGGGGCAAGGCATCAAGAGAATGAGGAGAGGGACAATGAGCAACGGCCGATGGAACGTGCGCTGAGCAGGACGTTCAGAGGATGGCAGAAGAGGAGGTGGAAGAGGAGGAACAGAGGATGGTGGACGACGAGGGTAAAGACGCAGTAGGAAGAGAGGAAGGCAGAGGAGGGGGAGGAGGAAGACGAAGAAGACAATGAGAAGGAGGATGATGAGTCGTTCCTCCTATCCAGTGTCGTGAAGCCACACGAGAGAGTCTTACGCATATGGTGTCGCGGGAGTCCCAGGGCCCGAGCAGGGTGGATAAGAAGAAAAACAACGGAGAAGTTGCACGCAGGGGTACGAGGAGGAGGAGGAGGAATGGATGAGGAGGAGTTGGGTGGGGAGGACAAGGACATGATTCTGGACTAGAAGTAGGAGGAGGAGGAGGAGGAGGAGGAGGAGGAGGGGGAGGAGGAGGAGGCGGAGGCGGAGGTCGAGTTACACGCGTGGCTAGAGCGAGCGCATCAGCACAGGAGGTCGAGTAGAGGAGGTCGGGCGTGAGGAGCAGAAGGAGGAACGAGGAGCAGGGGTAGGAGGACGGGGAGAACGGGGAGGATGGGGAGCAGGAGTAGAGGCAGAAACAGCACATAGGGGAGGACGAGGATGAGGGCTGCAACGGGCCCCTGGACGTCCAGACTCTGGACCTCCCTCCGCCCCTTTTCCTCCCTCGACCTTGACTTTCGCCCTCCCCCCTCCACATCATCCCTGTCATCCATCTCCGCACCCTCACACTCCTCCCCCTCCTGCTCCTGCTGTGGCCGCTGCCAGCGGCTGGGCGGCGGCAGTTCTTTTGAGTGTGCTGGCCTATCCTGCCGCGAGTCGAGCAGTCAGGTTCGATACCGAATGTTGTCGCCTCGGCCGTTCCAGCCAGCAGGTAAGGCTTGACGCATGCACTGCGCAAAGCTGTGTCTCTCCCTTCCCCTCCTTCCTTCCTTCCTTCCCCTCCTCCCTCGCTCCCTTCCTTCCTTCCTTCCCCTCCCTCCTCCCTCCCCTCCTCCCTCCCTTCCCCCCCTCCTCTTTCCTCCCCTCCCTGGCGTCCTTCCCCTCCTCCCTCCCTCCCTCCACCCCTTCCTCCCTTCCTTTCTATCCCTCCTCCCTCCCTTCCTTCCCCTCCCTTCCCCTCCTCCCTCCCTTCTGCCACCCCCCTCCCGCCGGCTCAGGACTGCGTCGCCCGCCCGAAGTTCACCTCCCCGGCCGTGCCGGCGTGGTCCTCGTTCGCCGAGAGGCCTGCATCGCCGGGCCATCCTGGTGGGTGTCCGTCTGCTCTCAGGAGGGAAAAAACACACAGACACCATTAATCGTCGATTTCCCAGAAAATATGGGAAGTGGGGGGGAAGACAGAAACCCAGAAACTATGAGAACAGATGGGGAATCTGCTTACCTGTGTGTACTTCTGTGTGTTTCCCTGGGCCCCTTCATGCTCCACCGTGGCCTCGTCCTCCTCATCCTCGCCCTCGTCCCCCCTTATCCCCTCTGCTGCAGTCTGGCTCCACGCATCGGAGCCTGCCAGATGTCGCTCGCCAGGGCCTCGCAGCACGGTTCCTGTGCCTTGCCAGCTCGCCCGCCCGCTCACGGTGCTGCTCGTGCCCTGGGCCCCGGCGATGAGACTCGCAGAGGTGACTGCTTCGAGCACGGCGGCTTCCGTGCCTCGCGGGGCTCACGGCTCACACGCCGCTGGGCGCGCGGGCGGCCTGCGAGACGCGGCGGCGACGCGGCCGGCCGTGGCCTCCCGGGCTCGAAGTCGGGCGTTGCGCAACCACGGGCGAAGGCGCACCAGGGTCGCCCAGGAGGCCATGAGGATACTTCCGGCGGAGCGACCTCCTCCTCCTCCTCCTCCTCCTCCTCCTCCTCCCTCCTCCTCCTCCTCCTCCTCCTCCTCCTCCTCCTCCTCCCCCTGGGCGGCGGTCAACGGGGGGGGGGGGGGGGGGGGGGGAGGCAAGGTCCACCGTGCACCCGAGAGGTGCCCCCCTGTGCGGGGCCCAGGGGGCGCGCGGGAGGTGCACGCGCCTTCGCCCCGCCACCCCTCGCCCCTCCACGAGGCGGCGTCCGCGCGGAGGCCACCGCTGGCAGGAGCCAGGCACGTCGGGCGTGCGGCGCGGGCAGCGCCCAGGGGCGGCTGCGCCGCCCGGCATCTCGGCGGCGCGGGGCCCCGCTCGAGAGAGAGCGCTGCCGCACCATGCGCTGCGGAGAGGCGCTTCGCGGCGGCGGCGCCTGCGCAGCCAAGAGCCCGCCGCAGAAGGATAAATATACGCAGACGCCCTCCAATGCAATGTGTTCCGGGGCGTCAGGAGAGGGAGGCGGCGCACAAGTCACCGTTGCGAGCCAGCGACTTTCTACACCGCCACCCCCCCCCGCTGGAGGCACATGCGCAGTTTTTTGTTCCGAGGGTGTCAGTGGCGGGAAGAGGGGAGTGATTACTGGGGGGGATGTCCTGGCGGGCCCACGATAGCTTTCCAGATTGATTTCATGGCGCCCCTTCTTCTTTCAATGTACGTCCCTGGACCCCCCCCCACCCCCTGGGCCGCGCACGTGCCGCCGGCCATGGTTTGCGCTGCCCCCTCCTGGACGCCCCCCTCGTGGGCGCCCCCCTCATGGACGCCCCCTCCGAGATCGGCACAACCGCTGTCAGGGGATTGGCCTTCGGCGCCCTCGGCAGGCGGTGGGTGTGGCTAGGCTCGTGCCCTGGGAGGGCAGCGCGGAAGACAGCGGAAGGAAGGGCGGCGGAAGCCCGTGGAAGCAGAACGAGGCCGCCTCCGCTGGCGGAAGGCCAGCGGAAGCTGGCGGAAGTAAGACATCCGCCCCCCAAAAGGGATGGCAACGCTTTTGGGTCGCGGGTTTGGGGAGCCGGCCATGTGCCCATAATTATCCACCCCTTGCCGAGGTCACCGAAGGTCGATGCCTCAGGCGGTGGTTATGCATGAATCCCCGACCAGAGACCACGTCATCGTTGAGTTGGACGAGTTGCCGGCGGTGTAACTGCAGGAAGGTTGCTGGCGCGAAGGGTTGACACTTCGGTCGCGCGGCCCTCGTGGGTGCAGGCGGCTTTGATGGATGTTGTCCGTCATGCTGCGCAGCTTACTGCGGCCTCTTCCAGGTGACGGAAAGAGCGGAGCAAGAGACGTTTCGTAGGGGGCGAAGCCCTTTTAGGGACAGGGGGTCCGGAGGAGGGGGCAGGACACGGGAGAACGGTTTTCGAGTGAAGCGGCTCCCGGGCGGCTCCCATGGCCTGTTTCGTTGTGTTTTTCGGGCGAACGGGTCAGAGGGCACCAAAACGGCCCAAGAGGGCCCCAAAACGGCTTCAGAGGGCCCCAAGACGGCCCCAAGAGAGCTTCAGATGGCCTCCAGACGGTCCAAGAGAGTCTGGAGACGGCTCCAGAGGGCCCCCGAGAGGGCCTCAGGAGGCCAAACGCATTGTTCTCCCTATGGTTTTTTGCAGGTTTTTGGGTTCTCCCCTTTTCAGTCCCAGAAGGGCCCAAGACGGCCCCAGAGGCGCCCCAAAGGGGGCCAAAACGGTCCAAGAGGGCCCCCAGACAGGCCCAAGACGGCCCAATAGGCCCCAAAGATCGTCCCAAGACAGCCCCAGAGGCCCCACAAATGGGCCAAAACAGTCCTAGAGGGCCCCCAGAGAGCCCAAGAGGGCCCCAAGACGGCCCAAGAGGGCCCGAAGATGCCCCAAAGGAAGCCCCAAGAGGGCACCAAGAGGCTCCCAAGCGGGCCTCATGAGGAGGGGGAGGAGGAGGAGGAGGAGGAGGAGGAGGAGGAGGAGGAGAAGGAGGAGGAGGAGGAGGAG